AGCGGACGGATCTGTCACAATTTCATAGTTGTCCGCCACAAGTCCCACGCTACTTTTGTCAAACACGTCATGATACTCAGCTTTGATGCGCGACTGACCGTCAGTCACACACCCCGACCGCGGTGGCCCGGGCGAGGGACGAGCTCCGGGAGGGCCATGACCCGGTTCGGTAGCGAGGTCACCCCCTGGGGTCACGGCCGGCGGGGGCGGGGCAGGGACATAGTCCAGTGGGTCACAGTCGCGGACGTCAATCAGGCCCAGCTGGACTGACGTGTTCAGGCTCAGTATGGAAGAGATAGCACTGTTCACAACTTTACACTGAAGGATGTGCCTACTCCGAGACACGGGATTAGTAAAGCACAGGGACCGTTTCCCCTCACATGACACGAGAGCGCCGTCATACATGCGCAGAACGGTATGGCACGGTCTCAAACATGCGCCCTGTGGATCGTCCGTGATACGCACGTAGTCTGTCCATGTCAACACGTCACACTCGGAGCCGGAATCTATCAGAAACGTTACCGATTTTCCCGAGGCGGTCAAAGTTTTGTGTGCTTTTGTGGGTGTCTCACCGGAATGGCCAGCTGTCGACAAAACGTCCCAGTGCTCATGTTGATGTGCACCTGACGCGCCGGGAGGCGGGTCGCGGCGCTGGCCGGCTGGCGGAGTCGCAGTCAGCTGATCGCGGCCGGCTGGCGGAGTCGCAGTCAGCTGATCGCGGCCGGCGGCGGCGGCGCCCACGGTGGCGGCGAGAGACAGCGGCCGGGCCGCTGGCTGGCGAACTGGTCCGCGCCCGCCAGAGCCGGGCGGGGGACGCCGGGAGCCGCAGATAGTACTGCATGCGAAATGGTTGGCCTGCCCGCAGACGAGGCAGGCTTTGCCCCATGCAGGGCAGCGAGATCGAACCATTGGGTGATCACGGCCGCAGAACTTGCACTTGCGGGTCGGTTGGGACCGGTTGTGTCCAGAGACGGCGGCCAAGTTGTCTGTTTGCTCACTGTGGGACTCAGTTCCAAACACCTTGAGATCACGATTGGCGGCTTCTTCGGATAGCGCTATGTCGATTGCCATCTGAAGGGTCAAATCAGCTCGCTTCAGCAGCGCTGCTTGTATTTTCTGGTCACGGAGGCCGATGCATATTCTGTCTCTTAGCATGTTGTCCCCGTCTGGGAAATCACACGTTGCTGCCAGAGATCGAAGGGCCGATAGATATTGGCTGACCGACTCGTCTGGCTTCTGACCGCGAGTGTAGAAATTGTACCGTTCACGGACAACATTCTGGCGGGGCACACAGAACGCCTCGAAGCGTGACACTAGCTCATCCAACCCTTGTTCTGCAGACCACCCAGAGAAATGAGAGGCGACTTCTTGTGCTTCACCACCTGCACAGTTGAGAAAAACGGCCACTTGGACGGCCTGGGGCTTGCCAGCGAGTTCGACAGCCACAGCGTAATTCTCCCATTCACGCCGCCAGGTCCGCCATCTTGTTGCTAATTGCGGTGATGAAATCTCGAGCTCTGCCGGTGGGCGAAGATTCGACAGCATCGTCGGCACCTTTGTGTTACGTTAACTTCTGACACCATGTAACGTTCTTAAGATATCAGATAACGTAAGACGATGATATGTATTCAGTAATGTCAGATAGTCAGATATACAGTACTGACCAACCCTAGCTCGGGTGTCTAACTCTACAACCGTCTGGCTGCCGCGCCCTCACTTGCCATCAACCACGAGTTCGCTTTTCTGCCGTTCGATGACAGCACGTCTCAGGACACTACACATTACAATACGCCACAGCTAAATTCATTATTCATTATCAAATAGCGCTGAGCAAAACTACAACCTTTGAAAACAAACGTCACGAAAAAAGAGGTCTAGAGGCAATTATCATGTTTCTGCGCGGACTTATGCTCTTTTGGATGTTTTGGGTGAGGCAGGCAGCTGTTTATGAAGTTTTATGCGCTGCTGTTGGCTGCTGCAGATCAGATCTTCCCAAGTACAGTTTGGCTGATATAAGCTACGTTCCCGCGTACAGAAGGTTTGGATTTCAAGTATCAGAAAAGCGCGAACAAAAAGAAGCTGATCACCGATTCATAAAAGGAGGAAATGATCCGGGAGTATCAAGAAAGTTATGGCCAGTACTGAAAAATATGTCGCTACAGGAAAGACTATCGAAGCTCAGCCTAAAGAAGGGTGGTGAGATCCCGCCTAATAACGGCAGTGGCGCACCTTTGCTCCTACCGCGGTCTGGCTCAGCGAATGAAACACAAAATACCACGGATGTCCCTGACGCGAACTCCACCTATCCCGAGTACGAGTACGGCTACTTTGGACCAGTGCAAGACCCCGAAACTGGCTGCGGATTCTACGAGATGTCTTATCGGGGGAATTGTTACTACGTCTCTAAGGAAGTGGCTCCCGGCTACCGCGCTGGCATTGTTTGTGCCAAAGAGGCTCCTGGCGGCGCGTGGGCGAAAGTTAATTACTACGAGCTTCATGTCGAGAGTTACTTCTTCGTCGAGTGGTTAAACGTTAAGAGTGACAAGACCCCTGACCAATATTTCTATAATGTTTACATTGACATTGACAGCAGGGAACGCAACTTCTACCACCCAGAAGGGAATAAAGAAATCTTGTTAAAAAAGTTATACTGCAATGACGGCTCCTGCCGTTGCACCGTGCTAAACTGGCTGTCTGGATTTTGGCACAGCCGAATGTGCAACACTCGTCACCACATCTACTGTGAGCGCCCACAGAAGATGCATCATGAGCTGGAGCATGACCATCACGAGGAGGAGCATGTCTCGACAGAGTCGTCCGTGGTGGCTGTGTTCCAGCAGGCCAGTGCTGGGACGCCCGCGGCCACGCTCGGCGCGACATTTGTGACGCTGCTGTCCATCCAGCTGGTGTTGGTGTTTGCTTTTCGTTCGTGAAACACTTGTTGTTGTGTTTGTCGTGTTCCTTGATTTATATGTATAGAGCGGTGATATAGCTGTAAACTCCAATCCCTTCTGTTTTGTCAATGATGGTGTGATTTGATGTGTTATGGAAGGGAAATACACCTACTTACATACCAGTTAAGGTAACGGTTACTACTTACAACCAATGGCTCCGCCACGGATTCCTTACGTGATTAACCCTCGCCCGCACTGATCTTTTGCCAGCTGCGAACGTATAGGGGGGGGGGGGGCACGTTAAGGCCCTTGCCGTTTCGCCCCTGATCGAGCTAGAGCTTAGCGGAAAAACGAGCGTGCTGCCCGTGACGAGAGGAAGCCGATGATACCTAATTTTAAGGTCCTTGGTCATTGGCTGATCTTCCAGGTCAGGTCAATGACCCAAAATTCGGGAAAATCGGGACCTGTTAGAACGTCCTAAAGTGTGGCTGCTTTGTTTTTTTTTTCGGGATGCTGATCACGAATATCATGTTAGTTTTGATCAAAGATGATGGCTTCATGTATTTGGGCCAGGTCAGGTCAGGTCAGGTCCCCTATACGGGCGAAGGTTAACCCTCACCCGTATAGGGGGGGGGGTCGAACGGACCCCCCCTCGGTTTTTCGCGAATAACTCGCGTAAAAAACGGCTGATCGCGACGAAATTTTCAGTACCCTCGCGTTCATCAATTTTACACCTACCCTAAAATTTTCATGACCCTGACCTTAATGACCTTTGACCTGTGACCTACTTTTCGAAACCATGTTTGGCCGGAATCGCGATTCGGCGTATGTCACGCGCGTTTGCAATCTTTTCGTGGTTTTAAGCGTTCAAACATGGGATATGATGTTGCTCCCATGCATTAGGGTGAGTGTCAAGGTCACCGGAAGGTCAGGTCAGGTCATTGATCTTTGATGACCTCGGTTCACTTTTTCGAGTTTTACATGTTTCCTGGCCAGTTTTTGGAGCTGAATTCAAATTCAACAACCACATGAACATTTACGAAGTAGTTTTGGTGCCTTCGTAACATGTTACGAAGCTGTCAGAGGTGGTTGCTACCTACTACGAATACCCTTACTGGTTGACCTGACCTGACCTGACCTGGCCTAAATGCATGAAGACATCATCTGTGATCAAAACTAACATGATATTCGTGATCAGCACCCCGAAAACCCAAAGCAGCCACGCTTTACGACTTTCTAACAGGTCCCGATTTTCCCGACTTTTGGGTCATTGACCTGACCTGGAAGGTCAACCGATGACCTAGGACCTTAAAATTGGGTATCATCGGCTTCCTCTCGTAACACACTCGTTTTTTTCCGCGAAGCTCTAGCTCGATCAGGGGCGAAACGGCAAGGGGGGTCCAACGGACCCCCTTATACGTTCGCGGCTGGAAAAACACCAATACGGGCGAGGGTTAACGGAAATTTCTGAGTATGAGCGGCCGGCCGTGGTCTCGCTTCTGCGAGGCTTACCTCTCAGCAACCACTTGACTGATTTACATGCGGTAATTTTTGTAGGGTAGCTTCATTCCTTCTTCTACCAAGCATTGGACTATTCCCGATGCCTTATGCAAGTGCCACGTGTAAAACGAAAGGTGTCAGTTTTGTAACAATTGCAACATCTGGGTAACTACTGGACCGATTGCGCTGAAAGTTGGCATGTATGTAGGCAGTAGGCAGTAGGCACCAACTAGGTAATGCATTTTTATGTGCCACAGTTGGGGTGCTGCTGCACCTGCGCACGTGCAGGGATCGATTCCAGATCTCTAGAACGGCTGAACCGATTGCTCTCAAATTTGGTACATGGTTAGGGATCGGTTAGAAGAGTGCCTTGCAAAAGTCAGTTAAAACCCATTTTGCACGTGCGCACGTGCAGGGTGCCGCTTCCGAACGGCTAGGCCGAGTGTGCTCAAATTTGGCACATCACTAGGGACCGGTTAGTAGGGTGCAGTGTACAAGTAAGTTAGAGGTATCCCCTCGCAATTTCGCACGTTCAATGCCCACCCTTTCGCTCGCTCCGTTGGTCGCCCCAAAAGGCGTTCTACTGGTTAGTTATATAGTAAGTAAGCAGGTGAATGTCCACTTTATAACGCATCAAATCGAACTGATACTAACAAAATAAAGGTATTGAGCACGTAAAAGGCACCAGTTACCACAGCGAATGAGAGCACAACACAACGAGGTAACGACGATAGACGGACGTATTAATTAGCTAGTAATCCGCTTCTTGAGACTTAGAAAAGGTAAAATACCGACACAGCTAAACCAGCACTGACAGAAGCCGCAAATCGCACCTACTTGTCAGCAAGTGTTTCACGAACGAAAAGCAAACACCAACACCAGCTGGATGGACAGCAGCGTCACAAATGTCGCGCCGAGCGTGGCCGCGGGCGTCCCAGCACTGGCCTGCTGGAACACAGCCACCAAGGACGACTCTGTCGAGACGCGCACCTTTTCGTGATGGTCATGGGGCATCTTCTGTGGGCGCACACAATAGATGTGGTGGCGAGTGTTGCACATTCGACTGTGCCAATGTCCGTACAGCCAGTTTAGCACGGTGCAACGGCAGGAGCCGTCGCGACAGAGAAACTGTTTCAGCCAAAATGCTTTTTCCGACTCTGGATGATACCAGTTTAACTCTCTGTTATCGATATCAATGTAAACATTGTAGTAATATTGGTCAGGGGTCTTGCCACTATTTATGTTTAACCAATGTGCGAAGTAAAAGCTCTCTCTCTGCAGCTGAAAGTGGTCAATTTTCGCCCACTCGCCGCCAGGAGCCTCTTTGGCACAAACAATGCCAGCGCGGTAGCCGGGAGCCACTTCCTTAGAGACGTAGTAGCAGCCCCCGTCGTAAGACATCTCGTAGTATCCACAGCCAGTGTCGGGCAGTTGGTTCGGTCCATAATGTCCTAGCGCCTTGTAAGAGCTCACGTACTCTGTAGTTGTGGAGTTCACGTCAGGGACATCCGTGGTATTTTGTGTTTCATTCGCTGAGCCGGACCGCGGTAGGAGCAAAGGTGCGCCACTGCCGTTATTAGGCGGGATCTCACCACCCTTCTTTGGGCCGAGCTTCGATAGTCTTTCCTGTAGCGACATATTTTTCCTTACTGGCCATAACTTTCTTGATACTTTCCGTACATTTTCTCCTCTTATAAATCGGGGATCGGCTTCTTTTGGTTCGCGTTTTTCTGATGCTTGAAATCCAAACCTTCTGTATGCAGGAACATAGCTCATATCAGCCAAACTGTACTTGGGAAGATCTGATCTGCAGCAGACAACAGCAGCGCATAAAACTTCATAAACAGCTGCCTGCCTTACCCAAAACATCCAAAAGAGCATAAGTCCGCGCAGAAACATGCTAGACGTGCTTCTATTGCCTTTGAAAATGACACTCAGCAGACCTCTCTGAAAAACAGGTATCCAAATCAGGACTCCATTTCCGTAAAGGTGAGTACGTTTACAGTTTCTTATAAGTTATGTTCTGCGATGCTAATTAATCGATCAATGCATTTATTCAAAAAGCTTCTTTAATTACGTACGACATATTGGCCCAGATACATAGGGTCAAGCATACGGCTTCACCTGAAACACCTTTGAGCAAGTACAAAGATTGCAAATAAGCTTGGCAAACAAGATTGCAAAATGCAAATATCGATTCAGGAAATGACATTCGGAAAGTCTGGAACCTTGCTGTCTAGAAAGCACGTGGAAGAGTGATGAGAGAAACTCTATTTACGGAGCGAGCGAAGCGAGCGGAGCTTTACGTAGAATAACAACCAGTAACACGCCTTTTGGGTGAAGAACGAGCGAGCGAGGTAGTGAGTCCTGCACGTGCGGAAGGGCGAGAGGGTGCTTCCAACGGGCTTGCGCAAAGCACCCTTCTAACTGGTCACTAGCGGTGTGCCAAATTTGAACGCAATCGGCCCAGCCGTTCCTGAGATCTGGAAGTGGCATGCTGCACGTGCGCACGTGCAAACGGGGTCCAAAATGACTTTTGCACGGCACCCTACTAACTGGTCCCCAACCGTGTGCCAAATTTGAGCGCAATCGGCCCAGCCATTCTCGAGATCTGGAAACGCCCCCTGCACGTGCGCACGTGCAGTAGCACCCTAACCGCAACACATGGGAATGCATTGCCTGGTGGGTGCCTACCTGTATGCCAAGTTTCAGCGAAATCGCCCCAGTAATTACCGAGTTACTGAAATGGGAACAAATTTGGCACCTCTTATCGTTGTATTTTGCACGTGCACTGGGGGTGACCCACATGCATCGAGAGTAGGGGAGAGCGGGGCCAGTTGAAACACGGGGTCAGATGAAACATGGCTTTATTTTCAACAGTATGCAACATATGGCGTTGCCGACACCACTGCGCATCCGCGCTCGACCACTTCCTTTGTCAACGGCGTTTGGGCGGCAAACGGACGGTAATTTTGATTTGACACTTGTTTTTGTGTTTTTGAGGGACGTTTGGGAGAAATCGTTTTTATGGATATTTTGTGATATCTCATATACCTTTGTTTGCTGAAAGAAGAACTCCTGGCTCCGGAATAACACCTTATTTGGCCCTTCCTTCAGCATGATGCCGTCCCTTCAGCTCGTTTGACATGTGCTTTACGGCGCGTGCGAGATGGCGGGAGCGGATGGGGTCAATTGAAACAGGGCCACAGGCCGTTTCAATGGACCCCGGTGACCTTTGCAATGGTTATTGTTCAGAGGCTGTAAACATTAAAGGAAATAGTCCACCTTTGAAATGAGCTTTTAAACTGAAATAGTAGTTTAATACGGCTCAATTTTTAACCCCTTTTCTCCAGCCTTTTGCTTGAAAGCACACTATAGCCTGAGATATTTCTCATTTTCCTCATCCACCCATTTTACCATAGTCTATGTACTTTATGTCACCTATTATGAGGAACTTTGCACTTTTAGCTTCCCAACGACCTATTGAATGTAGCATTTGGAAAAGTAAACCGGACAAAATATATCCGTAAGAAAGTGGCCTTGAAGAGGAAAACATCCCATTGTTAAGGATAGGTGCAATTGACCCCATGGGCTGGTTCAATTGACCCTCGCATCGGGGTCATTTGAAACGGGCGTAGAGCTCTTTTATAAGCATGCGTTTGGCAGCAAAATTTGTTTGAAACATAATTTTACATATCTTAAAATAAAGCCAAAAGAACATATTTTTTCATGGTATTGTGCATTTTTCGATATGACAACTAGATCTCGCTGTGCATGTCAATATATAAAAAGTGGTTCAACTGGCCCCGCTCTCCCCTATCCTATTTTGGGTAGAAGGGATGCTGCTACCCTACAAAAATTTCCGCAAGTCAATCGCCCAAGCGGCTGCTGAGATATGAGCCTCTCAAAATCACTACTTTTGCAAAACAGCTTGAACACCCTTGACTTTTCACGTGGCACGTGCCACGACGTTCACTGAGATGTATCAAAAGTAGTCAATTACGGGGTAGAAGGGATGGGGCTACCCAACAAAAAAGACCGCAGGCCAATCGGTCCAGCGGTTGCTGAGATATAAGCCTCTCAAAAGCGTTACAGGCCGGGCCGGGCCGGGCCGGGCCGCTCATACTGAGATTTTTTCCGCTATGTTGAAAAGACTCACTTCGCTCGTTGCGCTCGCTCGTTCGTAAAAACGGAAATTTCTGAGTGTGAGCGGCCTAACGATTTTTGACACGATTTTGCGACGCTTATATCTCAGCAACCACTTGACCGATTTACATGCGGTAATTTTTGTATGGTAGCTTCATTCTTTCTTCCAGGTATTGATCTATTCCCGATGCATGTGGGTGACCCCTTATGCACGTGCCACGTGCAAAACGAACAGGTGTCACTTTTGTAATAGTTCCAATATTTCGGTAACTACTGGGCCGATTGTGCTGAAAGTTGGCCGAAAAATCCAAAAAAGCTTTTTGAATTTCGAAAAAAACGGAATATGAGTGATAGTCCCTACCGCCTTCTATTCACATACCAAATTTGAGATCGATTCCTTTTTTTGCCAAGTTATAGCGAGAAAAAAACTGTTCAAAATTGATGACGCCAAATTTTCAAACTAAATTTTTAGCAATTCTAGACCTCGTAGCGCAAGACAAAGACCACCATTAGACTCCCCGTGACGAGCTGCAAACCGCATTTTTGGGTCATGTCAGGTCACTGACCTATGACGTCATAAGTGAACCTCTGCACGGTCTTCAGATGTCGCAACTTCGCAACGCCCTCACTGCCAGAGGAGATGTCACAGGGAAATGAAACTTGCAGGATCTAGTATCCATTATGAGTCTCACAACTTGTATATCTCGGATTTTTCCTAAAGGTCATATGAGGTCAGGTCATTTTCGTGACCTCACCATTTTAAGTCAATGGGGAAAAATGAAAACTGCTATTCTGGCGCCGGGAACGATCTCCAACTATCTCACGCACACAGAATCTCGTGATTTGATGCACTCCTTGCAAGGTTAGATGCGTCACTTTTGCAATGTTGACCTTGCGTGACGTCATTTATGACGTCATCAAGGTCATATTAGTTTTTCGTCAATAACTCCCGATCAAATTGAGCTAGCGAGTCGAGAAAGCCACCAATGGACTCAGGAAGACCTGCCGAATCGAATGATATGCGACATGACCTCTTTCGACCAGCTTCGTGACCTGGGGGTGCTGACCTGACCTTGACCTGAGGTCAACACCCTAAGTTGACCTGACCCGAACAAAAAGTATATCATTCGACGCGCCTGAGCGAGGCGAACACGATGCTGCCAAAATCGGCTCTGCGGCCGTTTGTTGCGAAGTTATTCACCAAAAACTGAACCGTACCCTGGGGCACTTGACCTGACCTCAGAGGTCACCGGTTGACCTAGGACCTTTAAATCGGGTACCAATCTCTGCGTCTCGTAACGGCGCACACGCTCGTTTTTTCCGCGACGCGCTAGCTCCACCAGGGGCGAAACGGCGAGGGGGGGGGGGTCGTACCCGCCCCCCCCCCCCTCGGCCGGCGCGTATGTAGAAAACCAATAGGTCCGGCGAGGGTTAACAATATAACACACACATGACACTGCAATAAAGGCCATTTCTACCATACGACACATTACGCTTCTGCCCCACGCGGCGCCCCGCACCGCTTCACGAATCACGAGTACGATCGTCTCGCTGGAGCGATGCCCCAGGCAATCCGCCGTGCCCGAGGCTCTTCATCCTACTTTGTTGCTTTCTGCGCCTTCCTGATTCCCCAGAAACATTTATTGACGCAGCCAAATATATCAATATTTTTGGGTCATGCAGAGGCTTACGCATGATCTTATAGGTAATCGGTTAGTGACCTGACCCAGCCTGACGATAAGATAGGTGCAACTCCGGCTTAAATAAATGTTCAGAGTCCAAGAGTCCATCTATTTTTCCTTCTACGGCCGGTTCCATTCCAATAGATCCTACCTTGATTCTGATCATTCTGAATATTCTGAGCTGGTTCGACGTTTAAATACCAAAATAAGGAGAAGAGGACACCAAATGCCCTCGAACGGATCATTTTTGGCTTTCGTCCCGAAACAACTTTGCCAGCTTCAGTTGTCTTCAGCATGTGGTCCCGCTGCGACCTGTCCGCGGTGCTGACACCGACTGAAGCGGCATAGACCCATCACGGTCACGGCTAGTGGGCGGAGCCAAGTTGAGCACGGCGTAACGTGATTGGACAGCGCTCCTATCCAATGCGGTGCGGTAGCGAGCGAGCCTCTATCCGGGTGCCAAAACTGATTAACATTACGAGCCAACGACAAGTGCTCTAAATTTTGATATTTTGTTAAGAGACCATATTGACAAAAATTGGCGCTTGAGCTGAAATGTCGTCTGCCAAAATTTCAAGCTAATTGGACAGAAATTGAAGAAATTATCGCCGAAAAACAGGGTCTCATGGGGTCTGAAATGCATAGTAGGTCATCGGTTGACCTTCCAGGTCAGGTCAATGACCCAAAAGTCGGGAAAATCGGGACCTGTTAGAAAGTCGTAAAGCGTGGCTGCTATAGAGTTTTTCGGGGTGCTGATCACATCATGTTGGTTTTGATCACAGATGATGTCTTCATACATTTAGGCCAGGTCGGGTCAGGTCAGGTCAGGTCAACTAGTAAGGGTATTCGTAGTAGGTGGCAACCGCCTCTGACAGCTTCGTGACATGTTACGAAGGCACCAAAACTACTTCGTAAATGTTCAAATGGTTGCTAAATTCGAATTCAGCTGCAAAAACTGGCCTAGAAACATGTAAAACTCGAAAAAGTGAACCGAGGTCACCAAAGGTCAATGACCTGACCTGACCTGACCTTCAGGTGACCTTGACACCCACCCTCATGCATGGGAGCAACATCATTACGGAGCGAGCGAAGCGAGCGGAGTCTCATACTGAATTAAGGGAAAATCCTGAGTATGAGCGGCCGGCCGGCCGGCCGGCCGTGGGGACGCTCTTCAAAAGCTAATATCTTAGGAACGTGACATCCGATTGACAAGCGGTCTTCTTTACTGAATGTCACTTGGACGTAAAAGTTCTGTGGTGTGATGGCCACCATGCTTTCTTGCCAACCACCGCACGTGGCGCGTGGTAAAGTTGGACATTTTGTAA